TGGATAGAACAACTGGGCAGAATATCAATAAGGAAAGAGAGAATTTAACACCATAAGCCTATCTGATTTAGCAAACATATATAGCACACTCCACACAAAACTGCAGAATACACATTATTCTTAAGTCCACATCAAACATTATCCAGGATAAATCATATGTTAGACCACGAAACAAGTCTCAGTAAATTTTTAAAAAATGAAATCATATATAGTTCTTTCTCTGACCACAATAGGACATAATTAGATATCACTAACAGAAAAAAGAACCTGAAAATTTCCCATATGTGGAAATTAAACAAACAACTCTTAACCAATGGATTAAAGAAAAAAAGCACAATACAGATTAGAAAAAATAAAAACAACATACCAAAACTTATAGAATGCAGCAAAAGCGGTGCCCAGAGGAAAATGTATAGCTATAAATGCCTACACTAAAAAAGAAAGGATTTCAAATCAACACACTAACTTTATACCTTAAGAAATGACAAAAGAGCAAAATAAACCAAGAGCTAGCAAAGGGAAGTAATAATAAAGATCAGAATGAAAATAAATAAAATATAGAAGAGAAAAAGCAACAAAGTCAAAAGTTGGTTTTTTGAAAAAATCAATGATCATTCAATAAATCCACAAATGGCAAGTGTTGGCAGGGGAAAAGATAAAAGGGAACCCTTGTGCACTTTTGGTGGGAATGCAGATATATGTAGAATCTAAAGAACCAAATAAACAAACAAAATTGAAACAGACTCATAGACATAGAGAACAGATTAACAGTTGCCAGAGGGGAGGTAGATTGGGGTAGTAGGTGAAAGAGATGAAAGGATTAAGAGTTACAAATTGGTAGTTTTGAAATAGTGACAGGGATGTAAAGTAGAGCATAGGGAATATAGTCAATAATATTGTGAGGACTATGTATGGGGCCAAGTAGGTACTGGCAATATAGGGGAAGAAGGCTTTGTAAAGTATATAGTTGTCTAACCACTATGTATTACACCTGCAACCAATACAAAATAATATTGAAAGTCAATGGTAATTGAAAAATAAAATTTAAAAAGATCGATGAAACTGACAATACTTTAGCTGGATTAAGAAAAAAGAGGGTAGGCTCAAATTACTAAAATCCAAAATGAAAGCAGGACACTGCTATCAACCTTAAAGAGATGAAAAGGAGTATAAAAGAATGTGATGGACAACTGTACACCAACACATTAGATAACAAAGATAAAATTGACAAATTCCTAGAAACAAATGAAATACTAAAACTTATTCAAGAATAGAGAGTCTGAACAGACCTATAAGAGATTGTACCAATAATCATCAACTTCCCCATAAATCCCAGGACCAGATGGCTTTACTGGTGGATTCTATTAAATATTTAAAGAATTAACACCAATGCTTGTCAAAATCTTCCAAAAAAAAAAAGAGGAACAAATACTTTCCAACTCATTCTATGAGGCCAACACTACAGTGATAGCAAAGCCAAAGATACCACAAGAATACTACATACCAATATTCCTTATGAAAATAGATGCAAAAATCCTCAACAAAATACCAGCAGACCAAAGCCAGCAACATAGCAAAAGGGTTACACACCACAATCAAATGAGATGTATGTGAGGAATGCAAGGTTGGTTCAACGTGAAACCCGATCAATGTAATAAGGTAGTTCCCCCTTACTCATGGGGGAATGTGTTCTAAGACCCCCAGTGGATGCCTGAAATCAGAAAGTATCAAACCCTGTATGTACTATGTTTTTTTTTTCTATAAACAAACCATTTCAATTTAAAGGAAGAACTTTATGGCTTCTCTTTGGCATATCCAAATTAACAGCATCGCTAGTCATGCACTTTTGGGTAATTATTAAGTAAAATAAGGGTTACTTGAACACAAACACTATGATATCATGACAGTGATTCTCATAACATGGGCAGCTATTAAGTGACTGAGAGGCAAATAGTGTAGACAGGGTGGATACACCGGACAAAGGGATGATTCATGTCCTTGGTGGGAGGGAGTGGGATGGTGCAATATTTCATCATGCTACTTAGAAAGGTACACAATTTAAAACTTATAAATTTTTCCCGACATTTTCCAATTAACATTTTCAAACTGTGGTTGACTCTGGGTAACTGAAAGTGTGGAAAGTGAATCTGTGGATAATGGCAGGGGCTTCTATACACCAATTTAATAGAACTAAGAAGAAAATACATGATCATCTCAAATGATGCAAAAAAAAAACCCATTTGACAAAATGCAACATTCTTTAGTGATAGAAACACTCTGAAAACTAATAGAAGGACATCTTCCTCAACATGATAAAGGACATTTACGAAACACCTACAGCTAATATACTAAATTGCAAAAGACTGAAAGCTTTTCTCCTAAGATGAGGAACAAGTCAGGAATGCCTGCTTTAGCCATTTCTATTCAATATTGCATTGGAAGCTCCAGCCAGAGAAATAAAACATAACCCAACTGGAAAGGAAGAAGTAAAAATATCTGTATTCATAGACCGGTGATTTTCAACTTTTTTCCCTTAGTAATTGCATGTTTTAAAAATTCTTGTGCCATAGCACAGTGATTGAAAATTGGTGTCATAGACAACACAGACAGATGCTTTATATAGAAAATCCTTAAAAATCCACAATAACACATTAGAGCTAGTAAACAGGTTCAGCTAACTTGCAGGGCACAAGTTAACACACCAAAGTTGTATATATTGGTAATGAACAATGCAAAAAGTAGGTGAAAAAAATTCCATTTACAACAGCAGCAAAAGAACAAAATAGGAATGTATTCAACCAGAGAAATGTAAGGCATGCACAGTGAAGGCACAAAATATTATTGAAGCATCTTTTTTAAAGAGTTATAACAAATGGTTTAAAAACCGAAAAGACATTTTGTGTTCATGGCCTAGAATGGTAATACTCCCAAAGCGATGCCTATCAAAATCCCAATGGGCCTTGGACAGGTGGCTCAGTTAGTTGGAGTGTCATTCCATACACCAAAAGTTTTCAGGTTTGATCCCCCACTCAGGGCACAAACAAAGGTTGTGGGTTTGATCCCAGGTCGGAGCAGTATGGGAGGCAACCAATTGATGTCTCTCTCTCTCTCTATCCCCACCTTCTTTGTTTTTCCTTCCTCTCTCTAAAATATATCCTTGGGTGAGGATTTTTAAAAATCCCAATGACCTTTTTTTTTTTTTGCAAAAACATAAAAGTTGATCCTGAAATACATATGGCATAGCAAGGGTCCCCGAATAGCTATAGACAATCTTGAAAAAGAAGTGGAAGACTCACATTTTCTAATTTCAAAACTTACTGAAAGTAAGCAGTAACCAAAACTGTAGTAATGACATAGCAATAAATAAATCAATGGAATAGACTTGAGCACCCAGACATAAAACCACAGAAATATGGTCAGTTGATTTCAACAAGGGTGACAAGACCATTCAATGAGGAAAAAAATGGTCTCTTCAACAAATGGTGCTGGAACAACTGGATAGCCACATACAAAGGAATCAATTTGGATGGTTATATGATACCATATGCAAAAATTAACTCAAATGAGATTGAAGACCTAAATGTAAAAAATAAAACCAAAAACTCCTACGAGAAAATATAGGTGTAAATTATCATGAATTCAGGTGTGGTGATGGTTTCTCAGCTATGACACCAAAAGCACAAGGCACAAAAGAAAATAAGTTAATTGGACTTCATTAAAATGAAAAGCTTAGTTCATCAAGACACTATCAATTATAACTAAAAAATAAATTTAAAAAAGGTACTATCACATGAGTGAAAAAACAATCCACAGAATAGCAGAAAATATTAGCAAACCATTATATCTGCTAAGGGTCTAGTATCCCTAATTTATAAAGAACTCTTGCAACTCAACAATATAAAGACAAACCAACCATTCAAAAAATAGCGGACAACTTGAACAGATACTTCTCCAAAGAAAATGTACAAATGGTCAACAAGTACATGAAACAAGGCTCAACATCATTAGTCATTAAGGAAATGAAATTCAGATACTACTTTATAGCCACTAGGATAGCTATAATATGAAAGACAGAAAATAAGAAGTGTTATAGAAGGTGTGGAAAAATTAAAACCCTTGTACATTGCTTGTGGGAATGTGAAATGCTACAGCTCCTGTGGAAAAGTTTGGTGGTTCTTCAATAAGTGAAGCACAGAATTACAACATAACCCAGCAATTCCACTCCTGGATGTATACTTCAAACTTGAAACAGGGAGTTAAATAGATATTTTATACAAATCTTCATAACAGCAGTATTCACAATTGTCAAGAGGAAGCAACCCAAATGTCCAAAAACAGAATGAATAAAACATGGCATATACATATTATTTAGCCATAAAATAGCATGAAGTACTGAAACATGCTACATCATGGAGAACACTTGAAAACATCATGCTAGCTAGGCAAAAATCAGACACAAAAGGTCATGTATGGTCCCATGGATATAAAATATCCAGATTAGGCAAATTCATAGGGATAGAAAGCAGATTAGTTTTTTTCAGAGGCTGGGTGGAATGGTAATGGGGAGTTTCTGGTTAATGAATAAAAGGTTTCCTTTTGAAATGAAGAAAATATTCTGGAACTAGAGAATGCTGATGGTTGCATGAAATGGTGAGTGTAGTAAATGTCATTGTACATTTTTAAATGGGTAAAATGGTAAATTTTACATTACATGTATTTTACAGTAAAAGTTAGTTTTAAATTAAAGAGTGGTTTTAAAAGATTTTATTACAAGAATTAGCCCTGGCTGGTGTGGCTCAGTGGATTGAGCATGGGACTGTGAAGCAAAGGGTCAATGATTTGATTTCCAGTCGGGGCACATACCTGGGTTGTGGGCCAGGTCCCCAGGTTGGGGTGTGTGAGAGACAACCACACATTGATGCTTCTCTCCCTCTCTTTTTCCCTCCCTTCCCCTCTCTAAAAATAAATAAATTTTAAAAATTTTCTTTTAAAAATGATTTTATTACAAGAATTAGAGGGTATGAGGATGTTTTCATAGTTTGCAAACCTATTAAGTTCTAATGTGTCTCTGTAGCACCTTTTTATATCCTACATCAAAAAAGATTTTACAAAAAAGGTTAGATTTAATTTTTTTACCATGCTAGACAAAAATTCATAGGATTGCTAAATATAAAATTATATCATATATCTGATCAAAATGAATTAACCGTTTTAATATCAAGGAAAATAACTGAACAAAGTGTTAAATTTGAACCAAGTGTTTCCAGGTGAACAACTCTCTTCATCATTCATACACAAAGCAAAAATTTTGTAGGAACCTGAAAAATATTACTGAAGCACTAGCATGAATACCATATAAAGCATAACTATCCAAATTCCCATTAGTAATGCACTTTTCTTTTTATGAGCAATTTGTTTTGGCAATCTTATGTAGATGAGAACAGAACATGTTTGTAACACTCTTGACATTCACAGCTTTAAACAGAATGGTCTTGAAAACAAACAAAAAACCCAGCTACTGTAAAAAAAGAAAAACAACTTATGAATGCTAAAATTAAAAAACAAACAACTTCTGAAATCCTTGAAAAGCACATGCCAAAACAGAATAAGCTGATCTCCTAAAATGTACACACAGGTTCAAGATCATAATTTCAAGAGTATGGCGAGACACCATGTTGAGGCCTTTCAGCAGACTGAGGAACTGGGTTCAAAAAGGATTCTTGGTTTGGTAAAGTTCTCAAGGAGCACAATACTGTGAGAGTATATGGCCCAGAACTCATAACAGAAAAGGCCCATCAAGAGCCATAACTAAAACCAAAGTATTTAATCTTTTATTCTCCCCTCAATGTGCATTTAGACTAGTTTCATATTGACTTTATGTAAAGTCAATATTAACTTTATATATTGACTATTTGACTCAGAGGATTTGAATGAAACAGTGTTTATACTTCTACTTGACTTTTCTAAAAATGAAATTTAAGAATATATAGCCACCTTGAGGATTCCTGGGAATTTTACTCACCCTTTACCATACCTTCTCCCCTCTCCTACAGTCTTATGGCACTATTACTAAATCACCACAAAAATTAAACAATATTAAAAAATAACAAAATAGATATGAATCCAGCAAAAGAAATCACTAGAAAGAAGACTTTAAGGTCTCTGGTTTTACAACTTTCTTCAACATTTGAATTTTAAAGGTCTTCTCTAGAAACTTTTTTTAAATAAAAGTTTTATTGGAGAAAAATAGAACCACCACGTACACAGGGAAAAGAGCACAAAAATTCATCTGATACAGAATAACTGAAAAGTCACAATTATCCAATGTTTGCAATTATCTTTCAAGTTCTTGAACAGCTCCCTTCAACTTGTTTTTTAATGTAACCAATTTTTTCAGCTGAACTAGCATCAAGTTTTCAAAAAATTAAGAGCCTGAGGGAAGGGACCAGCTCTGAAGATGATGAAGGTGACGCCAAGAGTCTCCTTCTAACAGGAACAATTCTACATAAAAATTCTTTAAGAGTTACTACCAAGTCTTCTGGAATGGTCTACATATCTCAGATACCATCAGGGATGAGTTAGAACACTGACGCAGATGGCCCAGTATGGAGAAAGGCACACAAAAATAGTTGCATTTCCTTGTCAGATGAGCTCATATAAGGAAACCAAAAGAGCTGAGAATATATAGGTAATGGCTATTCAAAAGAAATTAGGAAGGCATTAGAAATACCACATATTGTTACACAACAGTGTGCACGTTGGTGCAATTAGACACAGACAACTTTGTTCAAATAGCTGTTTATGGGTCTTTGAGAACTCAAGAAAACATCAATAGCAGACAGAAAAAAACAAGTCTCTGGCTAGGTTCTCGGTATCCTTCCTCGTGGCTCCAAAGAGTCAGGAAATATATTGGTGCAAAAAGCATTAAAGCAGTTCTGATTTTAAAAAAACCCAATGTTCTGCTTTTCCTTCATGATCACCTCATTTCAAAGCTTTAAGGAAAAACAAATTAAGAAAACAAAACAAAACAAAACAAGAAACCTACAAAAAAACCCACTGGTGGTAAAGAGAAGCCTTTTACTTGCATTATCAACTTGGAAGAACAATACTTTTGCTATTTTCTATGTCTGAACAGCACCCCTGAAAAGTAGGTGTCTGATAATTATGAGAACTCGTCAATTTTGAAAGGAATTAAGATTAACATGACATAGAATTCAAAATTCCAACTAGGGGATGTATGGAGAAAATGAGGGAGGGCCTTTACATGTAGGGCTTTAGGAAGTTAGAATAAAAATGATAGGAAAGGCTTATTTACCAACAAGGAGTTGGGGTGCTTCCAAAAGAACTTTGGTAGGAAAAAAAAAAGGAATGCTATAGCCTGTAACAATCTATCATTGGTCCAAGTTAAAGACAAAACTGTTCAAATAACATTAAAGTCTAAAGGAAGTTGAAAACGAGTTGATGGAATTTTTAGTTGCGTAAAAACTTATAAAATATGTGGATTTTGGTCTCCTTTGCAATGTTTATGTTGTATTCATTTGTATGAATATGAAGAAAGAGTTGGATTTTTCTCTCCTATTGTGTCATTCTAGTACAAATGATCAGCAATTTTCTATTTCAGCTATTTTTATAAGTACCTGTTAATCAGCACAGTAAACTCAGGGCTAAGTCGTATACACACATCCCATAACCATAAATGGAGCATTTGAGGATGTGTATATACAAGAGATTATATAAACAACTGGCCCTCTACTTGAAAACTTGTTTTCAAATAAATTTTTTCAAAACATCCCTTTGAGTGTAACAGAACATTACTTAGTAAAATATCAATAGCTATGACAACTTATTTTTCTTTTCAAGGGAAATCACAAAACAGGTGAACAGCCAAGTCCAGGGTGGTTTTTCTATTTGATAAATACATCCAGAACTCTGTACAGTAAATAAAGCTTGCATGCAGTTTAAGTATCTTTAAATGACATTTTAAGCAAATAAACCTTTGCTTCATAATTAATGGTGTATAAGAATCCCATGTTTTTAATAGCCATAGGGACCTCTTCCCCAGTTCCAAAGAGGAATCATGAAGACCGAGTACTTTCTTAAGAGTTTTCTGCACATCATACTAAATAACATGCAAAGAGTTCGACAACATTCTTCTTTTAAGTATTACTCTTTTAATGGGCATGTTAACCACTGAAAATGTCCACTCAACTATTTCCATTACACTGCTTCATTTGGTCATTGGTAGTATAAAAGAAGTCAAACAATACAGGATCAACAAGTTAGGTTTATCCACTGGCTACAGCATGAGACACAAAATGCTCCAAGGCCAGAATTTTATGCAATGTAGTTGTACTGATTTGGATTTTCTTTATCTCTCTCCATGTAGTCCCGGTCAATTAAGGATTCTATTCTCTTCTTAAGATCAGCAGGCTGTAAGAGAAGGCAGATTTTCAGTGCAAAGCTCATATGCATTGGCTCAAGCCCATTTACCAATATACCGTTAAAAAAAAAACAGTTCTGGCTCACTGTCAATGTATTTAATCTCTTTATTTTTTTATAAAAATCAAAGTTTTTAAAAGATAAAGAATAGTGAAAATAAACCAGGTTAAGAAATGTTTTAAACTATACACAGACTTGTCACACCTTGTCATATTATTATATAAAACTTTCTATTCCGTTTCTATTTTAAGAGATCTTCTAAGAACCAGGCTATTCTCTACACAAACATAAAAAGATGAACTCATAACTTCACATGAAAAAACATTGTAAGTTTAGGGAGACAGAAGACTATCTAATTTTGCTAAGACAGTTTGTGAAGATAGGTAGACCTTAAATTTGGGCAAGAGCTAGTTCTCAAAGTCAAGTTGCATTTCCATTACATAAAAAAATGTATTAAAGAACAAAAAAATGTACTGCAGAAATCCCTATTTATAAGAATACTACAACAAATGGTGTGATAAGTATATTCAAATAATTCAGATCTTCATATTCCAGGTTTGATGTAAGATTTAACTTACCTACCATAAATAATTTGGATTTTTGAATCCTACTTGTGGTTTAAAAAGATTGAGAAAGCTTATAAGTTTTTATGATTGTATTCTTAGCTCTTAGATGACAAATTCCATTCTTTTGTATCTAGCCTATAAAAATATAATCTTGCTTGCTATTAGTGAGTTTTTTAGATTGTGTAAAGTGGCCACTTGATCAACAGGGTTAAAAAAGAAAATTTTGATGGGGCAGCCAAAATTTCAGCCATAATAAGCATAGTAATCCCAAGGTTTGAAAATCGAAATGACTTTTTCTTAATTATGGTGAACCTAGAATATCAGCACAACTTCCTCTTACCTTCTCTAGCATCAGTAATCTTTCTGGCTGGAGGTGAAATGGTTGTTAGGCAGACCATGAGGGTGAAAGTGTGGTAATGAGGAGGCAGTGTTAGGTTTGAAGAAGAGAGAAAGCCTACCTTATTAGCATTAACAGCTAATGAGCAGCTATTATATGCCAGGCCCAGTGCTAAGTTTTTTACACACGAGGTCTGTCCAGAAAGTATCCAGCCATGTAATATGAAAAATAGAGACATTTATTAAAGATGATAAGATACAACAAAACATTGTACATAGGACAGTGATGCCTTAGTACCCTTCCAAGCAGGCACCTTGGGCCCTCACACAGTTCTCCCAGTCGCCATCAGCTGCCCCGTCATGTTTTTCTGAATCTCATCGACGATCTGAAATCTCTTCCTTTTCAAAGGTGATTTTAGTTTGGGGGAAAACCAGAAGTCGCAGGGAACCAAATTTGGGCTGTAGGGAGGCTGAGTCATCTGGGTGATTTGATATTTCGCCAAAAAACTCTGCACAAGACGTGATGCATGAGCAGGCATGTTGTCATGATGAAGGCCCATAGATGCAGCCTTCTGAATCATCCGAATAGGTTCCAAGGCAGAATGTTGAAGTTTAACACAAAATTTGATGCAGATTCGTTGCTCTACTCAGTCATTTTGAATGCGATGGCCACACAGCACACATGCTCACTCAACGGCGTTACTGCCCCCACTGACTAGTACAGTGAAGTTGTCATTGTTCACGCATGCGCATTCCAGTCCACTCTCCTTGGCTGCCAGGTTACATCAATGTCGTGCAAACTGTTGTCATTATATTAATAATGGTTCGACTTTTTCCAGACAGATGTCGTATATTATCTCATTTGGAAGTCTTCAAAAACTTGGAAAAACAGTGCCGTGCACCACCACATTGTCTAAGCCTCTTTATTACTGGGAATTAACACTGAAGCACCCATTTAATAACCAATTTCAGTTTGCCAGAACTATTGCTAAACTTTTAAAAAGAATAATTAATGACGGCTAGTTATCTGTATAGAGTTTCTAATGGCCACTCATAAGCTAACTAAACAAAAGATTTCATTTAAAATAACAGATCTGCTCTGGCTGATGTGGCTCAATGGACTGAGTGTCAGCCTGCAAAACAAGGGATTGCCAGTTCAATTCCCAGTCAGGGCACATGCCTGGATTACAGGTCAGGTACCCAGAGGGGGGTGTGTGAGAAGCAACCACACATTGATACTTCTCTTCCTCTTTCCCTCCCTTCCCCTCTCTCTGAAAATAAATGAATAAAATCTTTTAGAAAAATAAAATAAAAGATCTGTCAAATACCAAGCTGTGTGTGTATATGTATGCATACACATGTGTGTGTATATTTCAATTACAGTTGATATTCAGTATTATTTTATATTAGTTTCAGATGTACAGCACAGTGGTTAAGACAATTGTATAATTTACAAAGTGATACCCTTAATAATTCTAATACCCACCTGAGCCATATATAGTTATTACAATATAATTGATTATATTCCCTATGCTGTATTTTTTCAAGGAGAAAAAATAACAAAATAGCTCAAAAGAAATAAAGTGAATAAATCTGAAAAATTCAAAGACTCATTTAGCAGCTAAACTTTTAGGTATAAGACTTTTTATAAATTGTTTTCCCTCTTTGGTCACAGCTGTCCACATATGCCAACAATTGGTTTTTGGAATTATGTATATGAACATGAGAAACTAAAAAGTTTTGACCCTCTAGCTCTGGCCAGCATGGCTCAGTCAGCTGAGCATCATCCTGAAAACTAAAAGGTCACTGGTTTGATTCCCTGTCAGGGTATCTGCCTGGGTTGGGGGTTGCAAGCTCCATGCCCTGTCCCCAGTCGGGGCACTTGCAGAAGGCAACTGACTGATGTTTCTCTCCTTGTATTTCTCCCTGCCTTCCCTTCTCTCTAATAAAATAGAATAATTCTAAAACTTTTGACCCTCCACATGATCTTAAGACTTTTAATCTGTGTTTAGAAGATACATGTTTGAGCCCTGGCTGGTGTGGCTGAGTGGGTTGGGCATCACCCCACAAATGGAAAGGTTACAGGTTTGATTCTCTGTCAGGGCACATTGCAGGCTGGGTCCCCAGCTGGGGGCAGGCGAGAGACAACCACACATTGATGTTCCTCTCCCTTTCTTTCTCCCTCCCTTTCCCTCTGTCTAAAGATAAATACATAGAATCTTTTAAAAAGGGTTCATATTTGAAAATCTAGTGTGTTCTCTTTTATATATAATAAGCTCAATATGAAAACATGAAGTACCTACCTTTACTGGGAATTTCAACTGGTTGTACACTTCTGAAACCAGGAGATTGTGGCTAAGTGTCTTCCTCATCTTCATTATTCGAACAATTGCAGCATCAATTTGATACTGTCTGTCTTGAAATACTCTTTCTGTAGTGCTTGCTTGTTCCTCAACCTAACAAAAGTTTTATTAATGAAAGAAACTTTTAAACTTAGGAATTGTATCTGAAGTAAAACTTGATTAATCCTTATACAAATTGTACATTTTAGGAACGTGACACACTGCTAATGTGTTAAATACACTGAATTATCTAAAGAAATGTTACAAATACAGAAAATCACAAGAAAAACCCGACAAACGTAACTCCTTTCTGTCCTGATTACATTGCCCTGTACCTATGAAGTAATGACAATATTAATTTACAGAAAAATACCATCTTTGAGTTGCTTTTCTAGAAGTAGAGACCCACTGATAATGAATTTATCATTTTCTTTTACTCTGCCCTCGAATTCTTCTAAAAGTGTCACAGGGATAGTTGACTAAATTTCTGTATGACATTAGCTTCTCTGTTAAAATGACTGACCCTGACCTCTGACTCAAAGTATGGCATCAACTAGCTAAGCTCATGCAGCCAACTTTTTACAAAATTTTTTTTGTAATATATAAATCAGAAATACACACAGTTAGTGCTTACATTCATTCGAGACTAAAAAATTTTGAAGTTTAGGGATCAGTTTACCATCATCTTCAGCACCTAAATCAAAAGATTAGTTTGGGCTTTTTGCCGGCAGTTTCGTTCTGATACAGCAGAACTGTTTTAAAAGAACACAGTAAACTTCTAAGGGAATATGATAACCTTTGATATGAATGTGAACAAGACAGGAACTTGTTTGAGATACTGACCTCTGTCCCACATTAAAAGCTTTCCTCAAGCCTTGCATTAAACCTACTGGAACTGAAACCAACTGGTTTTAAGAAATGCTGACTTCCAGCCAAGATGGAGGCGTAGGTGGAAACACTGTGCCTCCTCACAAAACCAAGTTTAAAGACAATAAAGTTTTAGTAACAAAACGCAGAAAACTGACCTGTACAGAAGTCCGACAACAACAACTATTCAGCCAGACCGGTAAACCAGGCGAAGGAACGAGCAGTGAGACAGACAGTGAAACCAGGGCCCCAGCAATGGGAAATAAAGACTAAAAGCACCGACTGGAAAAACTTTCAGGGTGAAGGTGCCAGGAGAAGCTCCCAGGCTCACAGAGAGTTCGTTGGAGAGACCCACAGGGTCCTAGAAAGTACACAAGCCCACACACCCGGGAACCAGCACCAGAAGGGCCCAATTTGCTTGCGGGAAGCAGCAGAGGGGACTGAAGTCCGAGAGAGAGCAGAACAAACACCATTGCTCCTTCTCTGACCCTGCCCCCCCACATACAGCATCACAAACCAGTGACTGGGTAGACCCACCCTGGTGAACACCTAAGGCTCCGCCCCTCATACCTAACAGGCGTGAACCGAGCAAAACATTATGGCTCAAGAAGAACAGCACAAAGTCCCAGAGCCAATACTTCTAAGCAACCAAGAGATAGCCAACCTATCAGATGCACAGTTCAAAACACTGGTGATCAGGATGCTCGAAGAACTGGTTGATTTTAGTCACAAATTAGAGGAACAAATGAAGGGTAAACTAAATGAAATGAAGGGAAATGCACAGGAAACCAATTATGATGGAAAGGAAACTGGGACTCAAATCAAAGGAGTGGACCAGAAGGAAGAAAGAAACATTGAACCAGAACAGAATGAAGAAACAAGAATTCAAAAAAAATGAGGAGAAGCTTAGGAACCTCCAGGACATCTTTAAACATTCCAACATCCGAATTATAGGGGTACCAGAAGGGGAAGAGAACAGCCACGAGTAGAAAACTTATTGGAACAAATAATAAAGGAGAACTCCCCCCATCTGGTAACGGAAATAGACTTCCAGGAAATCCAGGAAGCTCAGAGAATCCCAAAGAAGCTGGACCCAAGAAGGAACACACCAAGGCACATCATCATTACCTTACCCAAGATTAAAATGAAGGACAGAATCCTAGAAGCAGCAAGAGCTAAGGGGACAGTCATGTACAAAGGAGTTCTCATCAGACTGTCAGCTGATTTCTGAAAAGAGACCTTACAGGCAAGAAGGGGCTGGAAAGAAGTATTCCAAGTCATGAAATCCAAAAAAACTACAACCAAGATTGCTCTATCCAGCAAAGCTTTCATTTAGAATGGGAGGACAGATAAATTGCTTCTCAGATAAGATCAAATTCAAGGAGTTCATCATCACCAAGCCCTTATTATATGAAATGTTAAAGGGACGTACCTAAGAAAAAGAAGATAAAAAAGATGAACAGTGAAAAGACAGCAAACTCACAGTTATTAACAACCACACCTAAAACAAAAGCAAACTAAGAGGACAGCTAAATCAGGAGCAGAACCATAGAAATGAAGATCACATGGAGGGTTAGCAACAGGGGAGTGGGAGAAGGAGAAGGGGGGAGAAGGTACAGAAAATAAGTAGCACAGACGGTAGGCAGAAAAAAGACAGGGGGAGGGCAAGAATAGTAGGGGAAATATAGAATCTAAAGAACTTGTGACACATGGACATAAACTAAAGGGAGTGAATGGTCGGGGAAGGAGTGTACAGGGTGGAGGAGAATGAAGAGAGGGAATAGGACAACTGTAATGGCATAATCAATAAACTATATATTTTTAAAAAATGATGTAGTTGTTGGTTCCCTTAATAAACATCTGTTACAAATTCAAAAGGCAAAGCCAAAATTTTCACTGTAAATCAAAGAAATACTAAATCGCTCATATTTTTCATTGAGCAAGTTTGCAAAGATTTAAAAAAGAAAATACAATCGTGAGTGCTGATGCAAGGGCACTGTTAAGACAGGCTGTCATGCTGGTAGACCACAGGTGGCAATTTGGCCCTCCACCTTGTTTAATCCACCTGTACCTCGTTTCTACCCAGTGGCAGCGCAGAGCTGTCACTTAACTCTTAAAGAGCAGTTACGTTTATACCATCCTCAAATTACATTCGGCCTTCTGAAGGCAACTGAGAGGCTGATGTGGCCCTCAGTGAAAATGAGTTTGACACCCCTGTGCTAGACAGAGTGTAAACTGGTGCAGCCTTTCTGGAATACAGTATAACATAATATATTAAGACCAAAACTGTTCATACTGTTTGACCCAAAATATCTATTTCCAAGAATTTATCATAAGGGAAGTCTCAGAGATTAAGATTTAAGTATAAAGAGGTTTATTACAGCTTTATTTACAATACTAAAAAGTTATTAATTTAATTGCCTGATAATGTACATTGGTTGAATAAATTATAATAGACATGTAAAAGAATGTATGGCCAACTGCCGTTTTATACAGATATTTAATGGCATGGGAAAAGTCTAAAGGTTTTATGTTAAACAAACAAAAAAAGCAGTACAGAAAACTGTATTGAGTATTAGGTCCAACTGTATGCATCTCTCCATAAAAAAAAATCGCAAAATCAAATACTCAAATACACTGAGCTAGATATAGGCATAGAAAATGTTAATGTTAGTGGTGGTGTTATAAAATTTTTTAAATAAATTTTTATTATGAACACATTTAATAATTCCAGTGTATTAGGAAAAGGAGAATGCAAAAGAAATACCGTTTCTTTCATCTGAATTTGATTGATCTTTATCCTGAAGAGTTTGTGTTTGAAATCATCATTACAAATGAACTTGTCACCATCTTCAATATCTTTGCCCTTTGGATTTTTTGCCAGAACTCTAGCTTTGCCACAGGCCAAAGACTGCAGTGTTCTCCTTAACTCGCCATCCTCTGAAGAAGAAATAATGGCTTAGTCATTTATTAATAGCTTATCAACAAGAACAGCTACATTCAATCTCAGCCTAGCTTCTACCCCATCCTGCAATTGAAACTGTTTCCTTTTTATCCCAAGGTCACTGACAACTCCCTCTCTGTTCTATCCAATGGCTTTTCTCCTGGTCATCCTCTAAAGACTTCATCATTCCATGAGGGTAACTACCAAATCTTCAAAAATGACATCTCACTTCTTTCCAGTAACACATTTAAAGGATATCTCCACCTGGATGTTTTTACTATCATCAACTCCAGTATGTTCAAAATTTTATTCATCTTCCCCATAAAACTGGGACCTCTTTCCAACTATTAGCTGTGAAGCTACCAACCTATTTAGGAAAGAAATCCTGGAATCACCTTTTGACTCTTCCTTCTACTTTATTCTCCAGTTATCTAGTAAGTTGCTGCTTCCTTAGAGATGCCTCTTCTCCATTCTCACTGGCCTCATACTAGTTCAAGCCCCTTACCACTTTATGCCCAAATTACCCCACTAGTTTCTAGACTGGAACTTCTTCATCCTCAAGCTGCCCTATTGTCTACTAATTCCAGGTAAGTTGATCATATAATTCACTTCCATTACATCAAACACTTGCAAGCCTACAATGTAGGTTTCATTTGCTAGATTTGTGAGGTTGTCCATGATCATGCTCCACCCATCTTACTTACATTTTTATCTCCCTATTCTGTGCTGCAGTTAAACACTTCATGACTCCTGCCCACACTGTGCTCATACCTACCTCCAAGCTTTTTCTTACAATATTTCCCCTTGCAGCATATGCTTTCGTCCCTAACTAAAACTTTAAGGCCCAGCTCAAGTTCCACCCCGTTTATGAAAGCTTTCCCAATTGTACCTATCCACAGTGATCTCTTGCTTCACCAAATTCTTAACAAACTCCTAGTCTGCACCAGATTGGAAGTAAATAGTTGTAAATTAGTTCAAGTGTCATTTCCCCCTTTCCCAGTCGTCATATTCTGAGTGCTGAGGAACGGGATTATTCCTTTGCATCCACCCCCTGCCTGAGCTCTGAACCTTGTGGAGTATACATAGGTGGACACTGAATAATGCTTGCTAATCAACAGAGTCAACACAAACCTATTCCAGTAGCCTGCTTGATCTCTTCTAAACTGAACTCCTCTCCTTCATTAAACATTAGCAGCACCAGTGTTTGAAAAAGAGAGACCTGGAGTTCTTTTTTACCCTGTTGGAGAGACAGCAGTGTTTAGCCATCATTAAAAAAAAACACATTAAAAATTAATCAAATAACTAATCTCTTACAGGAAAGCACATTTTTCAATTAGTGGACTTAGAAACATGGATTAACAGTATCCAGAAAAGCCATTATGTTCAGTGCAGGGCTTACATATCGTCCTACCTAAAATAGGAGGAAGGATTGGGTGACCTTTTTATAGGTCTTTTTTAAAAAATCTTATCATTAAAACTGAACAATAAAGTAATGAAAATTAATAACTTAGCCTCCATATAGGTCATTACAGATATTTATTATGAGCAGGAAGAAATAACTATTTCAAATACATTTTTTACTTTTTTGATTCAAGTAACTTGTGAAAAGCTGCAGGAAATCTATTCTCTAGCTCCCAACAACAAGAAAAGAAGTTTCCCGTCAAGAAGTGGCAGTGAGCCCTGGCTGGTGTAGCTCAGTGGATTGAGCGCAGACCTGCTAACCAAAAGATTGTGGTACGATTCCCAGTCAGGGCACATGCCTGAGTTGCAGGCCAGTTCCCAGCAGGGGATGCACGAGAGGCAACCATACTTGATATTTCTCTCCCTCTCTCCTTCCCTTCCCTTCTAAAGATAAATAAATACAATCTTTTAAAAAAAAGAAGTGGCAGTGAATTTTGCATACACAAGTGGGAAGAGGAGAAGAAAGGGTTATTGCTTTTGGTTTTGCAGCAGGGTAAAATCAAGCATGGAAAAAAACACACTCTTATCATACTCACAAAACTGTGATAAGCTATCATTGACATGCATATTTTAAGGATACATTTATAAACAAATTAAGAGGGATGACCTCAATATCCAAGGGTAAAAACTGAGTTTGGGGAACATTCACTTACTTCTTTAAATTCAGCCTTTAGCACACAGTGTCCTAGGGTTGACTGCCACTGAAGTTTCCTGCCACTATGTTTGCCTAGGTAAAATGTCTTAAAAATCTCCTGAAGTTTTACCATCTACAGAAAATAAAATAAAGTTTATTTAAGCTGTTTCCAATATCACACATTCACCACTCTTTAGACTTACCTCATGTATAATAATTTCTGGATGTTTTAAAGACTATCCAGTAGGTCCACTGCTGACTGATAGAAGGCAATGATCCCCCAACTACCAAATCTAATGGCGTTTATCAGTCTTCACACTCTTGTTTTCTCTGCAACATTTAATCATCTTCTCTTTTGAAACATTCACCTCTAATGCCTTTTGTGCCTCTATACCATGCTGGTTCCTTTATCTCACTATTGCTTCTTCACTGGTTTCCTTCACAGGTTCCTTTTCTGACCACCTGGCCAATACAAGCCCTTCCCAAAGTTCTGTCTCAGCTTTTTTCTTCCTATTTCTACATTCTCCTTTGTAATGAGAGAGGTCTACTCCTTGGATGTCCATGATTACCTCCATGGAGGATTCTCAGTATCTATCTCTGTTGCCTTAACTCCTTTTCTAAGCTGTAGTCCTAAGTCAGACGTTTCTCCAAGGAGTTAGGATGGATTTACTCAAGCACCCCGTCACTCAGCAATCCAACCTTCAGATGATATATGGGCAAGACTTTTTGAGAGCTGGAAAGAGTGGTGAGTGCAATCTGGGGAACTGAAAGAAGGGTCAGGGGAATTGGCCCTGAACCCAAAAGCTTGGCACCTTTAGCTACGCTCTATTATTAATGGAAGACAGGGTCCCTAGCCCCTGGGCGATGGACTGGTACGGATTTGTAGTCAGTTAGGAACCAGGCAGCACAGCAGGAGGTAAGCAGTGGGTGAGTGAGTGAAACTTCATCTCCGTTCATTCTGGATTAAAGTCAAGGTGGAATATCCTGAGACTGCCACAAAAGCACTGAAAAGCCTGCTTCCATTTCCAACTTCCTATCTTTGTGAAGCAGGGTTTTCTGCAGTGACAACAACCAAAATGAGATTACAGAGTAGACTGGAAATAAGCAACACATATAGGGTATTCACTGTCTCCCATCACCCCCTAGATGGGACGATTTAGTTTCAGGAAAGCAAGCTCAGGGCAGAATCCCACTGATTCTGCATTACGGTGAGTTGTATAACTATTTCATTATATATTACGATGTGATAATAATATAAGTAAAATGCACAATAAATGCCATGCACTTGAATCATCCTGAAACCATTCCCCCATCCCATCCATGGAAAAATTGTCTTCCACGAAATGGGTCCCTGGTGCCAAAAAGGTTGGGGAATATTGATATAAAGTAATATAAATAGAGCAAAATATTTAAACAATTGGCACTTGGTATTGGTGTGCTTACTGACCCAAACTTTTAAAAAAGTACCTATTTTTCAATAACAAGCAAAATAGAAGTGCCACGTATTTCTATGCTTAAAATTTAAGTCCTAAGCAGCAACTCTTACCTCTGGTGGTAAATGCACTTCCATAGGCACATATGTTGGCCAGTAACCCATTGTCAGGATATTCACAGTTAATTCAATATTCCCAGGTACATTCTGGTTCTGCATATACTACAATTAAGATCAAACACACATACTGAGTTCTTAAAACTAAAAGTTCATACATGTCATGTCATGATAACAACCCACTCCAGAAGTTCCCCATTACAATTCCATGCAAATACTGACCATCTCTAAAATAAAAGACAACTATTAAAGGATTATAAATGAAGCCTATGTTAAATGCACCACAAAAGTGCATTGGTTAACAACATTTGGTTACAATGGCACACAAGGATCATGTGACCTCGTTAGAGGCATTATCAACTAAAGCAGTTTCGCACATACAGCTGGGCAGTTATAGACTGTCTCTCCATTGTTTTCCCCATACCGCCAGCAGTCCCCACCTTCGGAGACCCCTATGTGGCTTGGAACACCTTGCAGCAACCCCCATTCCTCACCCCACCAGCCAGCCCAAGTCTCCGGTTTTTCACTTGCTCCACTGCCTGTTTGCAGGGGATGACCTGAAGTGGGGAAGGAAGAAAAAGGGGAAAGGGCAAAGCAGATAAACCCTATTCTGTAGCTACTGCAGGACACATGATCCTACTGACCCTGCTCTTTCTCTTGAGTCTTCAACTCTCACTTCCCACTGTAGTGATATAGTTAGTGGTAAAGACATCATTATTAAAACCCTAAGAGAGGAAAATCTAGTTTGCTGTCACTATACCTATGCTCTTAAATATTTCAAAACCACTTCTAACACCATCTGTGAAACTGTGGCTCTAGCTTTTCATTCCCAATGTCCCCAAAGGCCTTACACAATCCCTCTGTCACTTCTCCCTCTCCACTGCCAGCTTTGAACATGAGAGTCATCAACAGTGATTATCAGATACTAGAGAAGTCTTGTTCTCACTATCCAGCTGCAGCTTTTCTAGTCCTGACTTAAGCTCAATACATTTTATTTCTATTTTGGTGTTATCTTGAGTGTACACTGAGAATACTGAAGTAAGTCACATATATTGCATTGGTGATTTTTTTCCTCTACTATGAATATCATTTAAATTGCTATGAAATATTTACAACAAACCATGTTTCTATTTATCCTTTTCAGTACAAACCACAGCAAATAAGTAACTAAATATACTTAAGTGCAAGGAATTTAGTAAGAGTTTAACTCACTTTTACCTGTTTGAACTGAATCATGATGTCTTTAGAAAGTTCCATGTCTTTAAACATTCCTTCAAGTTTGCTGGTGAAAGCAGCTCCACATTCTATTAAAATGTTTATATATTAGTAATATTTCAAAGTTGTTAAAAGCAAAGAATTTAAAATTGAAAACATGAATATAAAACTCACTTTAGCATGAAACAGGATCTGTAACTATTCATAATAGAAAAATCCCTACCCCAAAGTGTATGCCCCACTAAGTGAGAACTAAACTCTTTAATCCTGTAGTGACTCTATCTCCTATTTAGGCATAAAATAAATGAGAAATTTTTATACAAATAATAAAAATAAACAATAAAAACAAGAACAATGTTTTATTTTTTAAAAATTGCAATAGCTCTGTATGTTTCCAATGACAGACTGGAAAATTCATGAGCTTACTCAATTTACATTTTCATCATATGAACACAGAATGACAAAACAGTAAAAATTATGCTAACATTTCCCCCAAGAAATCAAAGAAGAAAATGAACAAAAAAATGACAAACATACCATGTTTAAGTTTGGACAGCATTGATTTTTCAGCATCTACAGATGCACTCTTCCCAACTAACAGACGTTTGGCTAAATCTTTCTTATAGAAGGCCTCAAAAACATCCTTGCCTATGTTAAATAATAAAATACAACTCTTATAATATTTCAATAAAAAGTTCTGACCAAATTGCTTTGAAGTATTTAATAAATCACACCATTACTCCAAGTTATTTAAATTTATACATTTTATCCAACTTTGTTAAATGCAAGAAATATTAGACGTAGACATTTGTATCAGACATTTCAAAAGTTCTTTCCTACAAAGAATTAAGACTGAATAAACTTTTTTAAGAAAAGCTTTAGTCGATCAGTAAGCTTTAGCATCAATACTCTAAATTTAAAACAAGTACCAAAACTCAAGGTTCCTAATAATGGAAAAGTCAAAACACGGGGAAATGAAATAACATTCCTCGAGTATGCCAATGAATTAAATGCAAGGAACTTCATAGAATTTGAAATATCCCCAACAGAATTTTACATTAATTCCCAAATAATACTCCCTCCAGGCTGATTATACTTGCTAGTTTCTCTGATGAGTGCTTTAAAACTAAAATAAACTTACCATAGATAAATCTAAATATGATCATAATTTTATCCAACATTTTTTCAAGTTCTTCATCCGTAGCTTCTTTGTTGCCAGCACGAAGTTTTGAATCTACGTATTTAGCTAAAATGGGGGGAAAGTTTGTTGTTTAGTGATCATGGGTACCCATAAGATACTGGGTATTACAGGAATATGATATATTGAGTTTTTCAATGCTTCAGAGGTATACATGCATTTTTAAAAACAGTATCACAGTTCATAAATACCATAGCCTTAATTCAAACCCAAGTTCTGGCTCCAGATCTACTGTATTTTCCACTAGAGTGTCCATTTTACACTGATGGGAAGCAATTTAAACACTATGTTTTTATTAAAACAAACCAGATATATTACAGAGTTGGGGGCAAAATTTGCAAAAATTCTAAGTTCAAGTAGTAGACCAATGAAATTTCATTTTTTTTTCACAGAGGACTCCAGACCTTCTCAGAGCACCTCCTCTTCTGACATTAAGTGGTACCTGGGTGGGAAAACCTGAGAAGCACTATAGTATACCACACCCTTATACCAAATGGGCCCAGATTATGAGGTTTGTTTTTGTCCTGGACATTTTCCTTTTCTTACTGGCAACTATTGTGTCTGCTATCCTTTCTTGTACCCCTAACTGTGGGCCTCTAAGAACAGCCCCACCTCTAAATTGCTGTGGGCTTATGAAACAGATCTCAAGCATATTATAAAAGCAAATAGGGTCCAATGTACTGTCTTATAATGAAAGAACATTATGTCTTAACAGGTTGTCTCTGAGCCATTCTTTTGCTTCAAGGACTTATTCCTTACATCCAGGTTCTTAGAAACTACCAGCTAAACAACAACAAATGAATGGTGTTAATACACTACAACCTGAAGTTTTATGAATAAAAGAAGAACATTAAATGACTGGAAAAATACCTATAAGTTCAGCAGGTTTGTTTGGTCTCTTGTTAATGAATGTTTCAAATGCTTCTTTCATGGCGTTGATAAATTTTTCATTCTTCAGAAAACAGATATCTATTATATGGTCAACCTTATCTTTAAAATCCAGCAATTCCTGAACCATGGTTTTATCTTTTTCAGGATTAATTACAATAGTGCTGCCAAATGCCTAAACAACAAAAATTACCACTTTTTACTAGAACTGAATTATCCACAGTGAAAACAATCCCAAAATCATATTTTAAGTAGGTATAAACAAAGCTGCTTTTTTCCCAAAGAGAGGTGAAGGGAGGGAGAAAGAAAGGAAGAGAAACATCAATCGGTTGCTTCTTGCAGGCTCATAACCAGGGACCTGGCCTGGCAAGTGACCCGACTGGGAATTGAACTGGCAACCTTTCCGTTTGCAGGCCAGTGTTCGATCCACTGAGCCACACACCAGCCAGGGCATAAAGCTGTTTTTGAAGTCAGGAAAAGAAAAAATGAAGTTATAAAACGTCCAGACTGACACCATTTGTTCGTATCATGAAATAAGGGATGACTACTGGGTATACAATATCATAATAGGACATAAAAGAGCCTCCAGGCTCTTTTCCCTACTTTTAAGTTTTAAAAAAAATGACAATCTGACAATCTGGCTTCAGTGTAAGATGTAAGAAAGGTAAGAAATTTGGGGTCCTAAAAAAGCCCTCTTTTCGTATTCACTGCTATAGTCATTGGAGCTAAGAAATCATGGCAGATATCAAGAAGGTAAATGTTTTATTGCTGATCTGCCACATGGCTATCATTCTCATGCTGACTGCTTTCAAAACTCCTGTTACTTAAAAAAATATTGGCTCTAACAAATAAATGCTTGCTGATATACACTCCAGGTGTATAGATTATAAGCTATGACAGAGAAAAAAAATCACAGGTTAATTGTTAATACCTTAATGTACTCTATCCACTGTTGCAGGAGAACCTGAACTCCACCTCGAACTCTACTGAAGAGCTGATACAGAAGAGATAAATCTTGAATTCGGTTTTCATCAAGAAGGTTATTTAAACCTGAAATTTGAAACATTTTGAAAAATGTAAACAAAAACATCAGATATTTTATGTTAATATTATATTATCTTCTTAAAAAGGTTTTATTTATTTATTTTTAGAGAGAAGGGAAGGGAGGGAGAATGAGGGAGAGAAACACTGATGCAAGAGGGAAACATCTATTGGTTGCCTCTCATATGTGCCCCAACCAGGGACTAAACCCACAACCCAGGCATGTGCCCTGACTGAGAATCAAACTGATAACCTTTCACTTTGAAGGACAAAGCCGAACCAACTGATCCACACCAGTCAGGGAAATGTCAGACATTTTAATGAAAATTAACTTAAATTATTTTGCAATACTGTTCTGAGCTATGACTAGTCCGTGAACTTTAATATAGAGATTTGCTCTGAATTAAATCAAAATAGACAATCTCCTTTCCGAATGAAACTTCAGTCTAAAATAAAAATAAAATTGTGTAATGGCTTATAGTATTTAGCATGGTAGATCAGATGTATAAACCAATTTATAAAAACTGGTTTACATAAATGCACACTAAAAATACTTCGTATGTGCAGTATACATATTATATCTGGCATTAGTATACAGCTATATTTCAGAGTATTGTATATGGCCTGTAGTATATCAAAACCATACATTAATAGGCCAAGTTTAAATGAGGTTCTAATGTATTTGATTTTCAGAATGAAATAAGTGTAACTGCATGAAAGTTCTAAAATGTACCCACTTCATACAAAAAAAAAAAAAGATGATCAGAGAGAAAAGTAAGACTTTTGCCTATCTGTGGCACTGCCAAAGCAAATGCAGGGTATGCTCTAAGATAACTTAGCAGTGTTTGGTAGAAATGCTTAGTTTTATATGCTATGAACAAAAATACTTTAATGCAAAAAGGAATGCCTTTCCTTACTGTATGCTACAAGTTAAGTCAAGAGTTCGCAAATGGCCAGTTTTTTCTACCAGTATTGGTGGACCCCTTTCATCTCAGTTCCTGTATCTTTTAAGTTAAGGAAAGAGGCACCTCTTGAAAGTTTACTGTGATGAATAGGAAAAAAGGGTTGTGTCCATACTGAGAAATGCAGCCACCATATGCTATCAAGCTTTTAAAAGGGCAATCTTTAAATTTGTTTCTGTTTCCTGCTACCATTTTAAAAGTAATCTGATTTACAAATTGCCAATTACCTTTCTGAAGAATTGCTGTTAAGTGTTCACCTAGAAGTTGTTTTTCTACAGTAGCAATTAATGACTTCCTACAAGGAAAAAAAGTTTAGAATTATTGAGTTTTGACTTTGCTAAAAATTTAAAGCCTCTTCTGGGCAAGAAAAATCAAAATAGCTCATTTTATGTTCATTTTAATATTCCTATCCTATGTATAAATTTATCGGTGCTCAGAGTTACTCTATTTTATGCCTAAAAGAAGGAAAAGACTGCATATTTCAAAAACCTGATTTACATTATGAAATAAATATTTCCAAGGTCTTGACCTGGCTGGGTTTTTCCAAGTTTCTCTGCTTTTATTTGAAAGGTACAGAAATTATCTATGCTGTTTAGAGGAACTCCTTGCTTGGTAATATTTAAGGAAGCACAGAAACAGTTTGTCCTATGAATACCCACTAAATTTTAATCGGCCTCAAGATTTTAATGATAACATCTGCTTTAATAATAAGCACACACATACAACCAATAATCATATCCTTAATCAAATCTAATTAACTAGGGAAGATAACAACTTGAAGTTTGCGTCATGAAAACAACTGTTAAAAAAAATCACACCTGAAATTAGTTACTAACATGTTTAGGGATGCCTATGCCTAAAGTGCCTTAAGCGAGTCAACAACACAGATTAAGGCTATCAGGCAGAGCATGTCATACTTACTGGGTGGTCTGATCTAAGTAAGTAATAAGTCTGTCTGCTTCTTCTTCTAGACGTTTGTTAACATGATGAAGATATTCAGGAACCTACAAAGATAGTTTTTTTTTATATTATTGTTTTCCTCCCCATAAATCATTCAGAAAATGTCAAGTCCAAAAGATCCTGGGAGCAGCCCTATCAAATGTGACAGGGTTGACTCATATGTAAAATTATAGGTAGAGTTTATGATCCAGAATTTTGGCCTTTAAGAAGAGAGAAAAGAAAGGAGCACCTAAGTGAGAAAAAGGCATCACAATGTTGGGAAGATAAATGAAAAGGGCAGCTTATGTTCTATAATAATGATCTAATTGTGAGGCACAGTGTATTTATTAATCATGATTTTTAAATACCTCTCTTTCCTGCATTAATTTTTGGCCTTCGGCTGCATAAAGCCGGTTAGTTTCTTCCAAAAATCGTTGTTCAAAAGAATCCTGATAAATCTGGGAGGGGAAAACAAGACAAAGGAGTTCATTTATTCATTAAATATTCATTGAATGTCCGCTATGTGAACAGCACTATGGATTTGCTTTTTACACATCAAACTAGGGATAGCCATCAGCTCTATAGTAAGTGAAGTAGTTAACTTACTTGCAAATCAGATAGCATGCTTAAGAGGCTTCGGAGTAAACTCCTATCAATTGCTTCACCATTCCTTTCCCTCTCAATCAACAGAAGAATGCCATCAATGGTCTTATTTTGGACTTTCTGATCACTTATAATGTGGGCCCTAAATAATTCCAGTCCCATGTCCCTAAAATAAAATAAAATAAAATATATATATACATCTAAATTGACAATGATACCACTTCTGGAGAGCTGTACTTAACTTCTCATCACATGTTAATTAGGGCTTCAGGCTTTGAAGCAGCAACTGTAAATGGATAAAATCCACACATTTAATTTTAAATAACATTATTAAACTAAAATACATGAGAAACTCCTTTTGCCTTTAATGAGAACTAAAGCTAAACTCCTGTCTTTTTTCCATAACTGAGTTTTGTGATCTCCTTTGATAAATTTCTTCCTTGGTCAAATTAAGAGACAAAATTAGTTCAAAATTATAATGAAGGCTTAATTGGTCATTTGTCATCTGGCTTTAGGACTAAAAATCAGCAAACTCTGAAATCACTGTAGGCAGATGCTAGGTACATGACTGGGGGAAGAACTCATTATACAGTACTATTCTATTTTCATTTATACATGGAATTTTCATAATAATAATGTTAAAAGATAATGAGCAAACACTTGATCAACAACAAATAATACACACTCATAACTAGTTCAGAGCAACCTTTAATTCCCTTAAAAAATACTTCTTCAGAAGGTATTACAGGCTCAGGGAATGTTAGCTGTTTCCAATATTAGCATAAGTACAACAAAATCAAGAAGGCAAAACTGGTAAAAGTACAAGTTTAGAAGCCAAATGTGAGTTTTTAGGAGAATATTCACAGTATCACTTACTCTCTTCAAGTAGTGTAAATTAAGATTCAACTATGATTTTTAACAGATCTTTTCATATTTTTATAGCATCCTTACCAAATGGAGGGTAGCATTGAATTCTGAAGAACGTAAGTTCTATCCAGAAACAAAAAAATGCTCCTGATCATGATCTGCCAATATATAAAAAAAAAAAGAAATAAAGCAATTTCTACATTTTGTGAAGCTGAAATATTTGCTCTCAATAAATAAGAATAAAATTTCAGGATCTGCTTGAATACATCCTAGATGACTTAGGATCAAACATACAGATAAACAGATCTATCTGAGAATATGCCCACACCATTTTTATTAAACAACTCTACTGTCTTAATCCTTGTAGTTTCCAGAAAAGGGAGACTTAAAATGGCCCTATGACTTCTTTGCAACTTGAAAAGTGACTGAAAATAAAAAAACAGGGAATCAAGGGAACATGCATATAATGCTTCCTCAGCAACAGTATTCAGGGTAAACCTGTGTTAAATTATACTCATGGGGTTAGGGGAGGGGGGGTGGGTTTTAAGATTTTTAATTTGCAGAACACAGATATAAAATAATATCAGATTAGGGAGAAAGTAAAAAGTGATGTGACTAAGCTAAAATACAAGACCATTAAGCATATTTACAGGTAATCTACTTTTGCACAGGCTATCCATCAAGACTGATAGCAAGTAATGTTTTCATGAGATAAATACTTTTTGGTTAAGTGTGACAAAAATAGAAATGACCCTGAGGTGCGACTCATTCTAAAATGCTTGTTTACTTGTAACTTGCAATTTTAAAACAGAAAACTGAATCAAAATTAGTTTCCAATTCAGAACAAGAACAGATGTTGAGGCAGGCCCCTATGGCAAAGCCTTTAATATTAACATTCCTGTATTTGAAGAAATTTATGTAACTTAAATATTTAGCTTTTTCCAGCTTACCATTTGTCTACAGTGGTTCTGCCAGCATCTATCAATCTTCTTCAGAAAAAGAACACTATCCAATGAATCCATGGGATGTATGTCAAGGATATTTAAAAGTGCTTAGTACAAGTAATATAGGTATGCAATGTAAGAACACATTTGTCTTAAATATGGAATACCCTACCTAATAAATGAAACTAAATAGCACCTAATTATAGGACAAATGCCATTTCTTAAATTATAAAGAAATTAGATCTCACTAAAAATACCTTTAAAAACAAGTCTTAGACATAATTGTGTGTTTAGTTTATGATTTCCTTAGATTATCTTTCCTCAAATGGAAATTTGTTAGGGCAAAAAGGATAAAGATGTAAAGACAGTTTATTTACACTAATACCATAAAGTAGATTTAGGCCCCACTTAAAACTGAAAAATCAAAAACGTATTTCTTTTTTCCCTAGAAGCAAAATAAACTAAAATAACAAATCTAAAAACACAGGTATTTCATTTCAAGCTTGATTAAATAGTGAGGGATAGGAAGAGAGATGAAGATAAAATACAAGATGTTTTGTTTTTAAAAGGATATTCTCTGAACTGATGAATTTGTGCTTTGATGTGATCTTCACAAATCTGTCTCAGCTGTTTGTACAAATTTGCAGAAATCTTGTAAGAACAGAGATTTTCTACAGCCTGTAAGATTAAACACATACTTGATTAAGGAAAGAATGGGGGGAAGGTTCTCACTTATTTACATAAAGTTCTTACTATTTTGATATTTCTCCACATAAGCTTATTAGAAAGGATTGTGCATCCATTTGAAAAAAAAGTAAAACAACAATATAAATGTGGTGGTGAATTTTTCATAATAAATGTATTGTACCTAAAAACACAAATTAATATATTGATTATGGCTGTAAAGCTTAAAAATAGGGGGAATCAAGCCAACTTCCCCCCATGAAGACATTTGACTTAAAACAACTGCTACACATAAATGCTATCTTGTTCTTTAAAATATCCATTGTTTTCATAACCATTTTGAGTTTAAAAAATAATTTCACCAATTATTTATTAGAAGGGTTGGCGTGGTCTGACCACCATTTAATAAAAATTTATTTATACTTTGGTTTGCCTGAATAGAACAATGCAGAAATTACTACTAGCAGTATTATCATAAGTATACTAAAATTTTTCTCCAACATTTTAATTTAAAAATATTTCAACAAATGTAGGTTTTAAAATTTGAGCAACTGGGCCCTGACTGGTGTGGCTCAGTGCATTGAGCACTGGCCTGTGGACCAAAGGGTCACTGGTTTGATTCCCAGTCAGGGCACATGCCTGGGTTGTGGCCTGGGTCCCCGGTGGAGGGGCACATGAAAGATAACCACACATTGATATTTCTCTCCCTCTCTTTCTCTCTCTCTTCCCTTCTCTCTAAAAAATAAGTAAATGAAATATTTACAAAACTAATATTTGAGCAACTGAATAAACATTAATTACAAAAGAAATGGCTATATTTTTACTTCATTCTAATAATTTGGTCTTCTTTTATACTCAGATACTAAAGGACAAAGTTCAGATTTCAGTGACTTTCTTGTTATGTATATCAAAAGACTTTCAAGTTTAAAACAATAGCCATGGTAAAAATCTTTGGATGGGCTCTAATATAATCTACAATTCCAACAATGACTTAAGTATAACACCAGGATTCCTTTCTTACCACAACAGAAAGCAAAAATTCCATTAAAGTTGACTCTAAGGGAGCATCCAAGTTCTGTTGGTTGGAATGGAATTTTATAAATATGTGGTTGCAAGTCATATTGCCAGCATGCAGGTCCAATAAATGCATTAGCAAATGAAAAGAAAGCTTAAAGAAAACCACTTACACCATTGGGGGAAAGGAGTTACTACACATCACCAGGAAGCACCAGATCCTGCAGCTAAGGAGGGATAAGGAGACTGAGTCTTTACTGGCTACTTTCCATGGGGCCTTGGGTTAGGCCACAAATGCCTAAAGGATGTCTTATTTATTCATGTTCCTTTATGTTCATATTGGTCCTCCGTGGACTCTCCCCTTCTTCCTGTAGTAGTCTTCTCATTGTATCTAGATATTCCTTTTGAATGACACATTTTCGCAGCACTTCGTTCTCATTTCCCTGCTTAGATTCAGCTGTCTTCCTACTTCATCTTCCCCACATTTCCCACTTCCAGTACTTCATCCATTCCCTCGTGATGTGTTCCTCTTTTCCCCATATAGTAGTTCAACACAAATATCTATTTACCTTCCCACACAAGATACCATATTCCCTTACCACTCATCTAGGTGCTACTTCTCCCAATAAGACTTTCCTTAATTGCCTCACCAACAAGTGACTCACCTGGCCCTATCACCAATCATACCATTACTGACTTGTCACTAAGCCAATAGTATATGCCTTTATGCATATATATCCTGTCTCTCAATTCTCCTTAGCGACAGAAAGAGACCATGTGCTCCAATCTCTTTATGTTCTTTAATACTTTTTGGGCTTTGAACCTGGTGAATATAGTAAGTACAAAAAAAAAAAAAAAACTCCTAACATACGTATAAGTAGTGACATGTCCTGCATATAGAAGAGGCTTTTATAGTGTAAGGATAAAACTGGCCGGAAAATATACAACTACAATACACTGTGCTAAGTGCTGTGATGGGGATAAGCATAGAGGTGAAGCCCCTAATCCAGTTTTTAGGGCAGGGGCAAGTTAGAAAAGGCTTCCTGAGCAGAGGTAAAGAAGTGAAGTCCCAAAGACCCAGAAGGAAATGGATAGAGAACTAGTGGGATTAGTGAGAAACAGAGAAGTGGGGGGGCTTATATGCATACAGCCTCACCTGTATTTAGCTGGAATAACATTAAGATGTTAGAGGCAAGAAAGGCAGGAAAATCTAAAGTGAAATTTGAAAGTCAATTTGGAAGAGAACACTTTGCTTCTCTAATTTAGCCTTGAATGCCTAACATATAGACCAGATCTAGTAATTCCCTTCCTCAACAACCTTCCATCAATCTCTTCAAGTACCATATGGAGAAATCCCCTAACAGGTATAAAAAAATACAAAGGACTGAACTTTGTAGTATGGTTCATGGCCTACTATCATTTACGTAAAAAAAAAAAAAAGAAAATTAATAAAAACACACAGTCGATTTCACATACATAAATCTCTGGAAAGATACTCTCCATCTGGTAATGTTTGGGGAGAGGGAAACTAGGTGGGAGTTGGAGGATGGGGTAAAAGTGGAAATTTTCACTACACATTCTATAATACTTTTTGGGCTTTGACCCAGGTAAATGTATTAAGTATTCAAAATGCTTAAATACTTACCTTGCCCAATAAAACCCTTTTAATTTCCCCTCGCACACCACACTTTTTACTTTAGCATGACATTCAAGGCCTAAATCTTACCATTTTAGTTTCATGTCTGTTTACTGTCTTCTATATACCCTGTGACCTACACTCTCCTCACTTTTAAGCAAAGTTTGTTTGGGGCAGTCACGTGTGCCTAAAACATTGGCTTCTAAATATTTTTGAGGAGCCACAGAAAAAAATACAGTTTGTGTCATAACCCATTGTACATAAAGTGAATGTATGTAACTGAAAAAAATCTTCATGAAACTACACTTAATCATTTCTATGTGTGATATACTCTGATATTTTCTATTTTATTTCTTAAAAAACTGCTAGTCACAAACTAGTAATTAATTTCATGAACTTACTGCAATATAAGCACCTTAGGGATAAGAACTAAGTGATCTCTCTATGCCCATGGCTTCTGTCCAGCTTTGCATACAATAAGCAGTCACTGATTAAACAAGGATTAAATGTTTACTAAGTACTCTGCATCCTGTTGGGTGCTGGGATAGAAATATGAATAAGCCAGGTAAACCACTACTTAGGAGTCTGAGATGGGTTCTATTTTACTTCAAGACCTTTGAGACTTCTGGCCAAGATGGAGGCATAGGTAGGTAGATAAACGTTGCCTCCTTGCACAACCAAAAAGAAGGACAACAAATTTAAAAACAAAATACAACCAGAACTGCCAGAAAATTGGAACTGTATGGAAGTCCAACAACCAAGGAGTTAAAGAAGAAATATTCATCTAGACTGGTGCACCAAGACAAAGAAATATTACCCAAATGAAAGAAAAGATCAAAACTCGAGAAAAAGAACTAAGTGATGAAGAGATAGCCAACCTATCTGATGCAGAGTTCAAAACACTGGTAATCAGGATGCTCACAGAAATGGCTGAGCATAGTCACAAAATAAAAAAAAAGGTGAAATAAAGGAAAATATACAGGGAACCAACAATGAAGGGAAGGGAACTGGGACTCAAATCAACGATTTGGAGCAGAAGGAAGAAGTAAACATTCAACCAGAACAGAATGAAGAAACAATTCAAAAAATAAGGAGAAGCTCAGGACCCTCCAAGAGAATGTTAAACATTTCAACATCTGAATCATAGGGGTGCCAGAAGAGGAAGAGGAAGAAATCAAAAACTTACTTGAAAAAATAATGAAGGTAAACTTCCCCAATCTGGCAAAAGAAATAGATTTCCAGGAAGTTCAGGAAGCTCAGAGTCCCAAAGAAGTTAGACCCAAGGAAGCACACACCAAGGCACATCATAATTACACTACCCAAGATGAAAGATTAGCAGAGAATTTTAAAGCAGAAAGAGAAAAGGAGACAGTTACCTACAGAGGAGTTCCCATCAGACTATCAGCTGGTTTCTCCAAAGAAAGCTTGTAGGCAAGAAGGGGCTGGGAAGAAGTATTCAAAGTCATGAAAGGCAACGATCTACATCCAAGATGACTCTATCCAGCAAAGCTATCATTTAGAATGGAAGGGCAGATAAAGTGCTTCCCAGATAAGGTCAAGTTCAAGGAGTTTATCATCACCAAAACCTTATTATATGAAATGTTAAAGGGACTTATCTAAGAAAAAGGAGATGATCAAAACTATGAACAATAAAATGACAACTCACAACTATCAACAACTGAACACAAAACAAAAACAAACTAAGCTAACTACTAGAACAAGAACAGAATCACAGAAATCAAGATCACATGGAAGGTTATCAGTGGGGAGGGCAAGGGGGTAATGAGGAAAAAGGTACAGGGAATAAGAAGTATAATTGGTAGGTACAAAATAGACAGGGGGAGGTTAAGAACAGTATAGGAAATGGAAAAGCCGAAGAGCTTATAAGTAGGACCCATGGACATGAACTGAGGGGGCAGGGAACGTTGGTGGGTGGGAGGGTGGAAGGGAACAAAGGGGGAAAATGGGACAGCTATAATAGCATAATCAATAAAATATACTTTACAAAAAACCCTTTGAAATGCCCTTTTAGAAGTTTACTAATTATTTTACATTTCACTAAAACTATGCAAATCCCTGAAAGTTTGATCTAGTATAATTATTACAAAACTAACCTCAGCTCACCAGCAACTATTTATACTAAACAGATTATAGAGTTATACAAGTCCCTTAAAAATTATCTTTTCACTTAAGCTCACAATGATTACTGGTGAAAATGCTATCCTAAGTCCTTTTTGAAGGTAATCAAGTATAAAAGAAAAATACCATAGCAAGGTTTTGACCTTTATTCCTCCAAATTCTAGTCCCACCCCTCCAAAATCCACACATGTCACATCAAAAATGT